TCAGTTATTAGGAGAGGTAGGTTTTAGTACTGAAAGTATTAGGCAAATAGAATATCTATGAGGTAATCTTGGAAAAAAATAATTTTAGAAAATTCAGTCTATCCTAATATATGCAGGGTTAATACTCTTACAGTCGGGTAGCTCTATGTTCAGACTGTAATCTCAATATTTAAGTGTAGTTAGAGTTACTAATCTTTTACTTAATGCATTCTGGGTTTGTGGTGATTCAGAAAAAAATTCCTTCCCAATTCTGAGACTCTTTACATGGTGGCTTATTTTTTACTTAAAAAAAATCATTAAGTTATATTAAATTTATGAACTTTGGAGAATTTATGCTTGTATAAAGTGAGAAGATTGGATCCATTTCTATTTTTTCCTGAGGGGTATCCACATTGTAACGTTTTTATTGTTAGCATAAAGGTTATTCTTTAATTTCAGAGGCTATCTTAATATATCATTTCAATTTGTTAGCTAAAAGTCTACTTTGCTTAGGTTTCTGATAGTTATGAATAAGAAAAAAAGTCTGTCCTTATTTGCAGACGACATGATATTATACATACAAAATCCTAAAGACTCCATCAAAAACCTACTAGACTTAATACATGAATTTGGCAATGTAGCAGGATACAAAATTAACCCCAAGAAATCTAAGGCATTTCTATACACCAATAGTGAACTTTCAGAAAGAGAGACTAAAAAAACAATCTCATTTACCATCGCACCAAAAATATTAAGCTACCTAGGAATAAACTTAACTAAAGAGGTAAAAGACCTCTACTCAGAAAACTACAGGACGTTGAAAAAAGAGATAGAGGAAGACATAAACAGATGGAAGAACATACCGTGTTCATGGATTGGTAGACTCAACATCATTAAAATGTCCATACTACCCAAAGCAATCTAAAAATTCAATGCACTTCCCATTAAAATACCAACGACATATTTCACAGATCTAGAACGAACTCTCCAAAAATTCATCTGGAATAAAAAAAGACCCCGAATAGCTGCAATGATCCTGAGAAAGAACAAAGTAGGTGGGATCTCAATACCAGATATCAAGCTGTATTACAAAGTCACTATTCTCAAAACTGCCTGGTACTGGCACAAGAACAGACATATAGATCAATGGAATAGAATAGAGAGCCAAGAAATCGGCCTGAACCAATATGCTCAATTAATACTTGACAAAGGAGGCAAGAACATACAATGGAGCCAAGATAGTCTCTTTAATAAATGGTGTTGGGAAAATTGGACAGATACATGCAAGAAAATGAAACTAGACCACCAACTTACACCATACACAAAAATAAACTCAAAATGGATAAAGGACTTAAATGTATGACGGGAAACCATAAAAATTCTAGAAGAATCCAAAGGCAACAAAATCTCAGACATATGCCAAAGCAATTTCTTCACTGATACAGCTCCTAGGGCACTTGAAACTAAAGAGAAAATGAACAAATGGGACTACATCAAAATAAGAAGCTTCTGCACAGCAAAATAAACCATCAACAAAACAATAAGAAAACCCACTGCGTGGGAAAACATATTTGCCAATGTCATATCTGATAAGGGCCTAATCTCCAACATTTATAGGGAACTCATACAACTCAACAAAAGGAAGATAAATAATCCAATCAAAAAATGGGCAAAGGATCTAAATAGACAACTTTCAAAAAAGGACATTCAGAAAGCCAAGAGACATATGAAAACATGCTCAAAGTCACTAATCATCTGAGAGATGCAAATCAAAACAACAATGAGGTACCATCTCACACCTGTCAGACTGGCTATCATCAACAAATCAACAAACGACAAGTGCTGGAGAGGATGTGGAGAAAAAGGAACACTTGTGCACTGCTGATGGGAATGCAGACTGGTGCAGCCACTATGGAAGATAGTATGGAGTTTCCTCAAAAAACTGGAAATGGAACTCCCATTTGACCCTGTGATCCCACTTCTAGGAATATATCCCAAGAAATCAGAAACACCAATCAGAAAGGATCTATGCACCCATATGTTCATAGCAGCACAATTCACCATAGCTAAGATCTGGAAACAGCCTAAGTGCCCATCAGTAGATGAATGGATTAGAAAACTGTGGTACATCTACACGATGGAATACTATGCTGCTGTAAAAAAGAAGGAACTCTTACCATTTGCAACAGCATGGATGGAGCTGGAGAGCATTATGCTAAGTGAAATAAGCCAGTCAATGAAGGAAAAATACCACATGATCTCACTCATTCATGGATAATAAAGACCATTATAAACTTATGAACAAAAATAGGTAAAGAGGCAGAGCTGCCTCAAACAGATTGTCAAACTGCAGCGGGAAGGCCGGGGAGAGTAGGGGTGCAGAAGGGGGGCGGGTAAGAGATCAACCGAAGGACTTATATGCATACATATAAGCATAACCAATGGACATAAGACAGTGGGGGGTAGGGGAGGCCAGGGGATTGTCAAGGGCGGGGGAAAAAAGGACACATATGTAATACCCTTTTTAATACTTTAAGCAATAAAACAATAAAAAAAAAGTCTGTTGCATGCAAATTGCATGTTGAAGGATGAAACTGCCAAGCTAACACTAGAAATAGATTCAGTAAAAAATCAGAACCAAGGAAAATGAAATTGGAAAGCAGGAATCCTTATAGGAGAGGCTATTTCACCTACAGAGTGAAATATGTTGTTTCAAAAGCAAGTGGATCATGCTCACAACCAAGTTGACAGGAAAGGAAAGAGAGTCATTAAAATTCAAGATCAGTTTGAGGATGTCATAAAAATATTTAAAGCTGAAAGTGAAAAGCAAAGGCTTATGCTGAATGAAACAAGCAAGGAATTAATCAATGAATGGCATCATTTAAAAGAAAAAATAGATCAGTGTGAAAATGATAAAGCAGAAAGAGTTGTATGTATCCAGACAGATAACTATTTTCAAATTTCCTCTAAGAAAATTCAGAGTAATATTTGATGATGGCTAGATGTTGAATCCAGGTGAATATTAAAAATGTATCTATACCTATATATCTTTATCTCTATATCTATCTATCTATCTATCTATCTATCTATCTATCTATCTATCATCTATCTATCTATCTAAAAGCCAAGCGACCAGAATGATAGAGCAACCGTAATGACCAGAATGACCAATCGTTATGATGTGCACTGCAGCAGCCAACCAGCCCGATCAGGGCCCCAGTAGGCCGCCCCAACCTTCTGTGGCCTGTCCCTCCAGACAGCCCCTCCTGGATTGGCCAGCCAGATCCCACCCATGTACCTATTTGTGCACTGGGCCTCTAGTAGATTATAAATGTGTTTATTCTATCAGCTTAAAAGCAGGCATTGTATCCAGCAAATGAACAGTAGACCCAAGAAGTGCTCTGTTTGAATAAAGACATTGTGTTGCCCATGAAATTTTAAGAGGTTAAATTATAGATTGTTCATAGATGTAGGCTGATAATAATAATTAAGTCTTATACTGATAGAATAATAATTTTAGTCTGTCTGTCACCACATTTTAATATCGTTAGGAACCAGATAAATGGGAATGCTCTTTCCTCAAATGATATTTTCAAATTAAGATTCAGTTAAGTGGATTATCTTGACAATTAAGTTCAGATTTCCCAGATGAACTGAAGTGTAGATGTTGTATGTCATAGTACCTTTCCTTCCCTGGATCCTTGTACATTTAGGGTGACATAGTGTTATTTTTATTCATGCCAATTTGAATTAAATTTGGAAATATTTCCGCCTCAAGTAATATACTCATAGGACCTCTTAGCTTTTGAAAAGCATCGACTTTTCATTCAATATAATTTTGGACAAAGGTGATGAGTTTTAACAAATCTATACTTGATGTAATCTTTCCACTCTATTTATAATTTTTTAATGGTTTTACAAATAATTTGCTAATATTTCTCATGTTAAGGCCTAATTACTATCACTTGGAGCTGTTTGTCCAAGACAGAGAGAATTGTAGCTCTCTGATTTCTTAATTTGGCATTGATCTCCATTTCAGACTACTGAGGGGTGGCAGGATTTATGTGTAGCAGGGAGAGAGGCCAACACCAGGTTACTTAGGGCCTTGAAGACCTTGGAATGACTTCCCTTTTATTTTAAAATAGGAACCTATTGGAAGGATTTGAGCAGGGGATTAAACACTCGAAGAACTCTGAAATTAATTGAAACCTCAGGTTAAAAAAATAAAAAGAGAAAATGTTCCATAATATTGAATTTACTTCCACTTGATCCACCTACATACCCATTTGTCTTTGAATAGTCAATAGATTGTAAAGCTTTGAGATTCATCTTGGTTGGTGGCGGGGAGGGGAATTGAGAGTGGGGCTGAGTCAGCTTTTTAAGTACATAATACTATTTAGGCAGAAATATTACATTTTCTGTGATGTTAACCTGATTAAGCCAACAGAAACGTGTATACCAGCAAAATGAACGTGAACTGTGGTAGTGACATTTTTCCAGTTATAGATTATCCT